GTCATGCTGTCATGCTGTCATGCTGTCATGCTGTCATGCTGTCATGCTGTCATGCTGTCATGCTGTCATGCTGTCATGCTGTCATGCTGTCATGCTGTCATGCTACAGTAAAGCTGTTACCTATAAAATCATCTTCAACAACGTGATTTTTGAGACTATATTTCTAACCAAATTTGATTTAAATTTATTGAACGATATAAACCATTCAAATAATAAAAACTGTTTTCTCTAGCATGCAACACATTTATATGGAAAATGTAGTTATTGTATGTATGTTAACACTTTTATATGGGAAATTCAGTTAATAATTAATAAAACTTGATGACAGAACCTGGATGATCTGGAGGATAGCCCGGCAGCGTTGAGACTCGCTTCAAGGATCAACCTCATCAAAAAAATCTGGCATCCTTCATGCAAATCCATCAAGACCAAGAAAACTAGGACCAATAAGCCATCTAAGGATCTCGAGTTTAAATACGTCTTGGGTTCGAATAACAACCTTCCTGTGGATACCAACTTCTCACCGAACCGGCGTCCTGATTGGTTGACTCGTGAACCCATGCCTGAAAATACACAAAATATGCAAAAAGTAGATAAGAGTTCTCTCTCTGTTGCCACGTGTGGGGTTCTTATCCAAGAACCACCCAATGTTCTCGATGTCAGACAAGGTAATTTGTTGCAGAACATCTCGAAGAACAAGTCAGATTTATTCTTGCACCTCCCGAGAACCGAAAACGAGTTCACCGCAAAGTCAAGGTCTCTGCAGAACCAGCGGGTCCAGAATATGGTATCAGCTACAAATGTCATCAGTGGTTCAACCGTAATGAATTTTCCGAAATTTCAAACGATTTCAGCTGAACCTTCAACAAATCTTGGAGGTATGAACTTGGACACCAAATTGGCTGAACATAATTCACTGTTCGTTGATGAGAAAACGTTTTCTGATCAAAAGGTGAAATTTGACGATACCCCTTCTCACCATTTCGACGAGGTATCGTGCCGAGATCGTTTAACAGTGCACACAGACAGGAATGAATCCAATGTTTGGCAAAGATCGATAGATGAACTAAAGAAGAACAATATCTACAATCCAAACAATATCCACAATCCAAACTGCGATAACAATCGCGTTCACGATGGTAATTTTGGTTTCGCGTCGAACGGTAAGCGGCATTTGGAGTCGTACTCTAACGCCGTTGCCCCGTTCAAACCCAAGCTCGTGCGGCGGAATACTCTGGATGAAACCACGGAACCGGACACACCGTGTTCCGAAACTCCCTTCATCATGCCGGAAAAGTCCGGAAATTCCAAAGATATTTCATCCGTACGAAAGCAAAACTCAACTGTGAGTAAAGCCGTTAAATTTGTATAAGTCACAGTCGCTTATGAAGGAAATGTTGATTTTGAATGCGAAGAAAATTCGTCGGCTTGCTGATTAAAAATTATAACCTTTTATCAATAAAAAAAGCAGAACAAATTAAAATTGAATTATAATAATAATATATTATATATTTTTCTAAATTTTTTTCTCTCACGTGAAACATTTACTTGCCTTTTGAACATTTGAAGCTTTTTATAATTAATTCATTCTCATTGCTTTGACGTGAAACATTTATCCAATTTTTATAATTTAAATCTCGTTAAAATTAATTATTTTCACTTTGACGTGAAATAATAATCTAATTATTATACTATTTAAAGCTCCTTGTAATCAATTCTTTTAGATTTAACATTTAATTGACGCTTATATTATCATAAAGCTTTAGTTATTCGACAAGCAATAAGTCGCTTTAGCAATTCGACATTGCATTGCATTAAACTTTGGAGCTTTTAAATTTTTTTATGCATATTTCCTCTGTATATCTATATATTTTATATGCATTTTTTCTGTATATTTTCTCTGTACATCTGTATATTTTATATATTTCTTCTGCATATTTTCTCTGCATATCTGTATATTTTAATATTTTTTTCTGTATATTTCTTCGGTGCATCTGTATATTTTATATATCTTTTGTATATTTTCACTGTATATCTGTATATTTTATATATTTTTTCTGTATATTTTCACTGCACATCCATATACTTTACATATATTTTTCTGTTTATTTTCTCTGTATATTTTATATATTTTCTGTATATTTGTATACTTTATATTTTATTTTCCTGTATATTTTCCCTGTATATTTGTATATTTTACATTCTTTTTCTGTATATTTTATATATATTTTTCTGTATATGTGTATATTTTATATCTATTTTTCTTTATACATTTTCTGTATTCTATATCTTATGTATTTTTGTCTCTATATTCAACACTTAACCCTGTCCCAGGTGGTGGGCAGTCTGCTGCTGTGCTGCAGGACGCTATTCCTGCAGAGTCCTGAGGCTGCGTTCTGGCAGCGCCTGCTGCTTCAGCTTCCTGCCGTCCCTCTGAAGCGCATGAAGCGAAGCTCTGATGCTGCTGCTTCACTGAAAACTGGGTCACCGTGAACCACTTCTGATGATCAGAAACATTTAATAAGTTATTTCTAATAACCAGGAAAATTAATAAGTTACTTCTGATAATCGGGATAAATAATAAATTACTTCTAAATGAAATCTCATAATCAGGAAAATTAATAAGTTATTTCTGATAATCAGGAAAAATTAATAAGTTACTCCTGATAATCAGGAGAAATAATAAGTTACTTCTGATAATCAGGAAAATTTAATAAGTTACTTCTAATAACCAGGAAAATTAATACGTTTCTTCTGATAATCAGGAAAATTAATAAGTCACTTCTGATAATCAGGAAAATTAATACGTTTCTTCTGATAATCAGGAAAATTAATAAGTCACTTCTGATAATCAGGAAAATTATTAAGTTACATTTGTTAAGAAAGTGACACGCTTTTTGCAGGTAAAATTGACACGCCATTTCGAACGTCGTAAAGCAATTAGGAATATTAACGGGTCAAATTGTCTAAATAATGACATTTTTTCTGCACTTAGAACTGAGACAAATTCGGTTCAAGCATCGCTATTGGGACAAAGTATCATTTATTTATATGAGTGAACCCTAATCACTTCAGTTGGCACAGAGTCACCGTAATCATTTCTTAACCGTAATCACCTTGGGTGATTAATTTAAAAGGCGTCATGATTTAATGGCATCACCTTGGGTGATTAATCCTATGAATCATAAATGTACTATAACCTCATTAAAAATCACTATAAATCACCCCAGCAACCCTAGCTGAAATTATTTATTGAAATATCACGAGTAATCAATTAAATATTTTTGCGTGGTTCATTCACTTTCTCATTAATGTGTCGTAAATACTTTTCGTCTTTTTTTGATTTGTTGTAATTTTTTCGTTTCATTTATTCGTCACTTAACGTGAATTAGTTAATCAATTAATTTAGTTAATTTACGAATTAATTAATTTCGTTGAACGTTAATCATGCAATTACTGCGTTAACATTTTATTAATGAGTTAATTATAACCTAGAAAAATATATTATGTACTATACATTATACATTATATTATGTAGAGATTAATAAGTAATCGATGCATAAGAATTATATATAATAATATAACGTTGACCTAAATAGTTAATGTGATTAAAATTTTTTACGGTTAAAGAAGCTTAAAATTGTGCATCAAAACGATTAAATTTTACCCATAAATGCTTGAAACTTCTCACAAAAGTTATATATTATTTGTCGCAAAATCTGAGTCAAATAATATTGAAACCTATATAAAAGTATAAACCTTGAACCTTTTATAAATCTTAAAAATACTACATTTTATAATTAATGTAGGAATTGAACGCATCAACGTTAAATTACTCAGGAAAAAAACACATAATTTTAGAGTTGGTTAACCATTCTAATTATAACTAAAATTACTTACTAATTAGAAATGACGACGTACAAATAATTGTGTAAATAAAGAATCTATAGCGTAATAATTGATCAATTTCATTTGTGACTTATTCGTTCACATTCGTTCATGTTTTAATTTAAATATTTTTTCATATATCAATATATAAGAAATGATATGAAGTTACAAAATATTTCGTAACATAGTTGTCAATGAATTAATATTTAATTCATAACTTCAATCTCTTCATACAGTTACATCAATCGAATAACATCATTTTCAGTACATTATAATCAACATTATATTGATATTAAATACATTTAAGTAATCATTTATGTCCGTGTACAACTAATTTCGGTTTTTGAGTCCTGCATCACACCGAACAAATAAATAATACAAAATCTTAATAAATGAAATACAACACAGAACTTCTAAAATTATAAGAACTCCTAGTTAATATTATCAGTATTTTTATTAGGATTAATTAAGTAAAATGAGATTATTCTGTATATATCGCAGTAGGATTACTTGGTATACATGGCAGTAGGATTACGTGGTGTACATGGCAATAGGATTACTTGGTGTACATGGCAGTAGGATTACTTGGTGTACATGGCAGTAGGATTACTTTGTGTACATGACAGTAGGATTACTTGGTGTACATGGCAGTAGGATTACTTGGTGTACATGGCAGTAGGATTACTTGGTGTACATGGCAGTAGGATTGCTTGGTGTACATGGCAGTAGGATTGCTTGGTATACATGGCAGTAGGATTACTCAGCTCAGGTGCTGCGGTCGCAGAAATTAATTACCCAATTATAATATAAATAATAATAATAGAAATAATTGTGTTCATGTTAAAAATATATAATTGATGGTGGAAACTGAGTTTCATTAAAATCCTTTTGAGAAATATCGATTAATAGTGATTAATGAATAATTGTGGTTTGAAATTACTTATAAGAAAACAAAATTACCAATGACATATACTCGTAAATAATTATTATTAGGGTTGATTAATGGACAATTGTGAATCATATTCACTTACGAGTAACAACCACCAAACATTGCCTTGCGATGATTAAAATAATATTTAAAAATAACGTATCATATGATATAATTCATTATAATAAATATTAATAGCAATAAAATTTGAAGAAAAGTGACTTAGTCGAATTCTGTTGTCAAAATATTGACAAAATTCTGCACGACAGAATATAATATTGATTCAATGCCCACTTAATGTTGTCTTCTATCGTTTATTAGTTTTAATTTGTCATTCATTGTTAACTTAACTCGTTCGTGAGTATCAACTCACTTGAGTAGCATATCCCGTAATAATGATACGCATTATTCAACATGTTGCTCACGAATAATATTTCCCGTATCAATGATACGCATAATTCAACATCTCGCTCACGAATAATATTTCCCGTATCAATGATACGCATTATTCAACATCTCGCTCACGAATAATAATCCCCGTATCAATGATACGCATTATTCACGATGAAAACTACTGTTCGCAGCAATGTTGCATGCATATAACAGCATCACGTATCACAGATACACCTTCTTGCACGTATGAATGGTACTTCTTACACGTATAAATGATCACGTATTTGCTTACACGTATCATCGACGTATTACTTAGAAGCATCATCGCAAGAACTTAATCATGCTCACATCGATTATTGTACTCAAAAAAATTACGGGTAAAATGGTCCATTAAGTGACACATTTTCTTCACTAGTGCCGGGCCAAACCAGGTCAGGCCACACAAGGGCACACATTGTACCGTTTCTTTATACAAAGTGTCCCAATTTTTCTGAGTGACAAAGATATAATCACGGCTGATTAATTAATTATTTTTGTATGGTTCTATTCACTTTCTCATTAATGTGTCGTAAACTTTTCGTGTTTTTTTTTCTTTTGAATTTTTCGTAAATTTTTTCGTTTCATTTATTCGTCACCTAACGTATATTAGTTAATTAAGTAATTTCGTTAATTTATAACAGTGAGTTAGTTAATTTCGTTAATTATGAGAGTACTGAGTTAATATTTTTTTAAGTTAATGATACCCGAGAAAAATATATTATGTAGAGATTGATAAGTAATCGACGTGTGTGACTTATATGTGGCTTATATATATAATAATATAAAGCTGACATAATTAGTCAATGTTATTCAAATTTAATACGGTTGAAGAAGCCTAAAATTGTTCTTCAAAACGCTTAAATTTCACGCTTTAACTTCGAAACTTCTCACTAAAAGATTTATATTATTTGTCGCAAAATCTGGGTCAAATAATATTTAAAGCTTTATAGAAGTATAAATCTGTAACCTTTTATAAATCTTAAAAATTAGTACATTTTAAAATTAACGTACGAATTAAAAGCATTAACGTTAAATTACTCAGGAATAAACCTCATAATTTTAGAGTTGGTTAACCAATCTAATTATAACTAAAATTACTAACTAATAAAAAATGACGACATGTACATAATTGTGGAAATAAAAAATCTCAAGCATAATAATTAATAAATACCATTTCTGATTTATTCATATAAATCATTCATATTTTAGTTTACATAATTTGGTAACATAATTGTCAACGAATTAATTTTAATTTATATCTTCAATCTCTTCATCCAATTACATCAATCGAAGAACATCGTTTTTAATACATTATAATCAACATTAAATTGGTATTAACTATAATTAAGTAATCAATAATGTTCGTGCACAGTTAATTTTAATTTTAGAGTTCCGCATCACACCGGGCAAATAAATAATACAAAATCCTAATAAATAAACTACAAAACTGCACTTTTAAATATATAATAACTCCTGGTTAATATTATCAGTATTTTTATTAGGATTAATTAAGTAAAATGAGATTATTCTGTATATATCGCAGTAGGATTACTTGGTGCACATGGCAGTAGGATTACTTGGTGTACATGGCAGTAGGATTACTTGGTGTACATGGCTGTAGGATTACTTGGTGTACATGGCTGTAGGATTACTTGGTGTACATGGCAGTAGGATTACTTGGTGTACATGGCAGTAGGATTACTTGGTGTACATGGCAGTAGGATTACTTGGTGTACATGGCAGTAGGATTACTTGGTGTACATGGCAGTAGGATTACTTGGTGTACATGGCAGTAGGATTACTTGGTGTACATGGCAGTAGGATTACTCAGCTCAGGTGCTGCGGTCGCAGAAGGGGAAATTAATTACCAATTATCATATAAATAATAAGTAATAATAATAGAAATATTTGTGTTCATGTTAAATAAAAATATATAATTGATTGTGTAATCTGAGTTTCATTACAATCCTTTTCAGCAATATCGATTAATAGTGACTAATGAGAAATTGTAGTAAGAAATGACTAATAAGTAAAGAAGATTAACAATGACAAGTTAATAGTTATTATTTGGGTTGATTAATGGATAATTGTTAATAATATTCACTAACGAGTAATAACCACCAAACGTTGCCTTTTGATTTATTTCGATGAATAAATAATATTTAAAAATATATAATATAATTCTTGATTCAACTCCCACTTAATGTTGACTTCAATCGTTGGTTGGTTTTCAATTACCATTCATTATTAACTTAACTCGTGCGTGAGCATCAACTCACTTGAGTAGCATATCCCGTAATAATGATACGCATTATTCAACATCTCGCACTTGAGTAGCATATCCCGTAATAATGATACGCATTATTCAACATGTTGCTCACGAATAATATTTCCCGTATCAATGATACGCATAATTCAACATCTCGCTCACGAATAATATTTCCCGTATCAATGATACGCATTATTCAACATCTCGCTCACGAATAATAATCCCCGTATCAATGATACGCATTATTCACGATGAAAACTACTGTTCGCAGCAATGTTGCATGCATATAACAGCATCACGTATCACAGATACACCTTCTTGCACGTATGAATGGTACTTCTTACACGTATAAATGATCACGTATTTGCTTACACGTATCATCGACGTATTACTTAGAAGCATCATCGCAAGAACTTAATCATGCTCACATCGATTATTGTACTCAAAAAAATTACGGGTAAAATGGTCCATTAAGTGACACATTTTCTTCACTAGTGCCGGGCCAAACCAGGTCAGGCCACACAAGGGCACACATTGTACCGTTTCTTTATACAAAGTGTCCCAATTTTTCTGAGTGACAAAGATATCAACACACGTATCACTGGTGCGTGTCACAAAGAGACACGTGAGATACGTGTGGCATTGACAGCATCGACGTACCGAGGGTACGAGGGCATGGATAATGCACGGCCTAAGCGAGGGCATTGATTGCCCTCAGTGCCGCCCGCGACGCGGGAAGAGGAGGTTGTGGGGTGTCGCTTCGCTCTTCGTTTCTTTTGAGATATTAATCGTAACGAAAGTTATAGCGGATAACTAGGTTAATAAATTTTTGTAATTAATAATTACTGTTAAAGTAAAATTTGTTTTATATTGAAAGAATAATTTCTGGTGTTCTCTACATGACTAAATTGGTTGACCCTCAGAATATATGACCTGATTTCTCAAGGTAGAGGCCATGGATGGTAATTGTAGCAAAAAAGCAATGACAAATTTATATTAATAGTACTAGGGTAGGATATATATGCATATAACAGTAGTAATAATTTGATCTGTAGGAGTGGAATCAGTATATCAACATGAATGGCATTAATATGTTAATAAGAATAGAATTCTCTTGAATTAATACACAAATTATAGTACAAACATTTTCGGTAATTTCATTTTAAAAAATAAACCAGAACCTGAATGAGAGAAATTATATTTAGAAATGATGAAAACATGGATACAACTCTACGGTGTTTGCAACCAGGATTTGATTTACTTCCATATAAATTTTTTGCTTTAAATAAAAATGTCGTTAATGATGAAAACATGGATACAACTCTACGGTGTTTGCAACCAGGATTTAATTTACTTCCATATAAATTTTTTGCTTTAAATAAAAATGTCGTTTTTATTTTGATTTTAGTTTTGATGGTACCAAAAAGCTGTTATTTCTGTTTTTGTTGTTATTTAGTCACTGCTGCTAATGTTTCTATTATTATATAACAGCTTCTTTCTTTTGTTGATATTGTTTATTTGTTATCGCGATCTATATTGCTCCTGTTTGTTTTCCGTTATTGTTTTTGTTGCTCCTATTTGTTTTCTGTTATTATTTATATTACTCCTGTTTATACTGTTATTATTTCCGATGCTGTTGCTTGTTTACTGTTGTTATTTCTGTTGTTTCTGCTCGTTCACTTTTATTTTTTATGTTGCTCCTGTTTGTTTACTGTTGTTATTTCTATCGATCTTGTTTGTTTACTGTTATTATTTCTATTGATCCAGTCTCTTTACTGTTATTATTTTTGTTGCTCCTGTTCTTTCATTGTTATTTTTTATACTGCTTTTGTTTATTTACTGTTATTATTTCTATTCTATTTATTTCACTTCTATTATATATGTAGATCCTGTTTGTTTACTGTTGTTAACTCTGGTCCACCTGTTTGTTTACTGTTATTGTTTACGTTGCCACCGCTGCCTAGTCACGGAATATACCGTTATTTTATACTCTGTTTCTGTTGCTGCTGTTGTCATAGCAGCAGCTACAGAAGGTCAAGGTGGGAGAGCTACATTCCAGTTCTTGGAATTGATATGCGATTCCCATTCCCGATGCTTACGTCACATTTTCATTTCACGTTTAGAAATGTAATAATATTTTAAATTACCTTTTTATTTTGGCTGTAGCTAATTGAATTATTAAGTAATTAATTAATTAATCAGTATTTCTCTTCGATTGCTTAATTAATTGAAAAATTATTTATTTGACTAATCACGGATATTTTCAGTAAATAATACAAATATTCAATTTATTTTATGATTGTTTCTGGTTAAAAATTTTTTATGCTTAGTTTTGATACGTATCTACGGAATTCACTAAAATAAATTTCACAACGCGTTCACTTACATTTAATAAACTATAAAATAATAAAATTCCAAAATAAATTAGTTAGAATATTTCATATTCAATTACGGCTAAATTCAATAATAGTTAAGTGTGAAATAAAGGCTGCTGGAAACTTTTTTCTTATGAAAAACTAATACTATTATATGAATTATTAAAAATTTAGATTCAAATGGGATGACAATTTTTTATGTGAATTAATGTAGACAAATTTACTAAGTAAATAATTTGGACTAATTCAAATAAATAATTAGTGTAAAGGGAAAATGATTATAGTAATCAAGTGGCTGCTATTATGCGCGGCGCTGGGGGTGAGTATCTTGATGGTGATGTGATGTAATTATGGTGATGTGATGTAATTATGGTGATGTTATGTAGTTATGGTGACATGTAGTAAATATGTTGATATGAGACAATTATGATGATGTGATGTAATTATGGCGATGCCATGTAATTATGGTAATGCCATGTAATTATGGTGATGTGACGTGATTATGATGCCATGTAATTATGGTGAAGTGAGGTATTTATGGTTATATGATGTAATTATGGTGACATGATGTAATGCTTATCGCTGTTATAATAATGATGTTATTATGGTAAAGTAATTTTATAATGACGTTAAAATAGCAGTAATGCTTAACTAAGACGCTTTAGTTATTTTATCTTTAATCATATTGTACCTTTACTGTTATTGTTCCGTTATGGTTATCGTGAATTTAACATCATTGTTCGCATACCATTTCCCTCATTAACACATACCAACTGGATAACTATTCGATATAAATATTACAAATATTCTACATAAATTGGTCATTACAGGGGGCGGAGGTGGTGACGCCTCAGCTGTCCAGGGAGGATATCAAATTTCTTCTCACCGATAAGCTGCGTAAGTTTTTATTAAGATTAATTGCTAAAACTTATATACAATACAAGTTTTTTTAAGTAGAGAAAAACAATATTATAAATTATATGTATAGAAATATTATATTTAAGGTATACATTGCTACACGCATTATTTTTCATCAAATTCACAGGGTTTTCGTCTAATTGTATATACATATCTATCAAAGTGGTAATGAAATACAATGTATAATAATTGGCTGAAAAATATTCTTTTTAAGTAAGTGTTGGCACTGGGTTGTAATATTTTGAATATTACGAATATAAAAAATATTTGAATATTTTGAATATTTATATGGGTAAAAAATAATTTTAGTGCATCGGGCGGCTAAAATAAATTTGAGTTCAATAACCAGAAATTTTAAATATATGAAGATATTTTCACTTTAATGTGTTGCTTAATAATCATTTTTTCCCCCAAAAAGCTATACTATTTTATTTATTTGTGTTATTTATCATTTAATTTACTCTTTAATCATTACTTATTCGTGCCGGTCGTACTACTCATGTCGCATTATGTTTTATTGATATTTTAATAAAATCAGTTCACTATCATAAAGATCAAATCGAACCTACTATATCTATCAATTATACACAATCACTTTAGTATGAGTAAAGCTAGCCTCTAATAATTCCTCATGTTTTTCTCCATATTTCAGCTGAAAACCCGATTTTCATCACCATCACCGTAAATTCAAGACGGAAAATCAGAAGTGTTACTGAAGACCAACAAAATACTGAAACAAAGAACCCTGCCTTCCAAAAACAAAGTTCTGAACACCAGGCTTCAGAAAAAGAAGAACCTGTACATCATAACTCGTCCCATGAATTCGGAAAGGGTTATAAGTCGACCCATGATTTAGACCAGGGTCAGAACTTAACCCATGACGTAGACCAGGGTCAGAACTCAACCCATGACGTAGACTCTGGGCTGTTCCTCTCTATAAATTCCAGCGAAAGCAATAAAACCAAAAACGAACCCCGGAACAGCTCAGTGTCGTTTGATGAAGACGATCCGGAAGGGTTCGATGGAAAAGATCCGGAATGGTTCGACCCTAACGGGCTAAGGTTCCACAACCCCATCGAATCCCACAGACCTGGAAAGGAACATGTAGGGGAAATGGAGGAGATGGAAGGGGATTCTAGACCAGATCGGAGAACACCAATAAAAGTGAGAACCCAGAACTCCCCTGATAAAGCGGGGAAAGGAAAATTAGGTGATTCCACGTCTACCGCTTTTCAAGGTGGGAACCTCAACCCTCTGAATGCCAGTGCAGCTGCATTACCGGTTCAAGGCAAGCCCGTGAACCCAAGAAAAGCCTCATCGAAATCGTCTGAACGCAAAAACAGTTTCCAATTACAGATCGATGCCGTAAAGTGGTATAACGGTCTCGGAAATATCGAAACCATCGATAAGGCCAACGAAAAGAACCTGAAGAAACTGATGGATGACTTCATTCAGAAACCGGAACCGAAAGCCAAACAAGCCGCCTTGCATGAAGACCGAAACAATCTGAGAAATTTGGGTTCAGAAACCAACGACAGTGACACCAATTCATCCATTCCCCTTTCACTAAACCCATGGGATTCTGAAGAACTCAACATTACCATCAATGATGGAATCAACTCTTTTGACGTTCTGCTTCGCTCGCACGTAGAACTCTTCTCGAAAAAATTCAAAGTGGTGATAAGGGATAGCGTTTCCGATGGAAACAGCACCGATGTCCCCAAAACTGGGGGAAATATCACTCAACCGAAAGGAGATGCCGGGGAAGTAGTAGAAGTTCTGGAGGACAGCGGCAGGAAGTCGTGCGTTTACGTCGGACAAAGTGGAAAAGTTCAAGTGGCACTTTCCAATTGCGATGGAGACGGTTTCGTAAGTAACCTTTTCAAGTAAAATAATGTAGAGTTTGAAATAATTGTAAAATAATCAATATTGCACTAGTCATTGTTATGACTAGTAACCAATATTTAAATGGAGATATTTGTAAAATATAAGCTTAGTTTGGGGTCAACTGGAAACTTCATTCATGAACTAATACAATGAAGTAGTTACATTTTCCTTGCTTTAAGTGGCTCGATTTGACTCACTTTGACGCACTTTGACTCACTAGACCTACAATGACACAAGCTGACTCATCTTGACTCACCTTGCTTTGCACTAACTCACCATGACTCATATTTTAGTAATTATTAAATGCACTGCAACTAATTAAATTCTAAAATGGGTTGTTTTCAAAAGAATGGGCAAGTGTTTGGATTATATTTTGGCCTGAAAATTTTTGGTGAGATAAATAAAATTTGGTATTAAACTCTTCGGTGAAAGAAACAAAATTATAAAGTATTAGAAAATGTATGATGCATTCCATAAAAAATGAGTCTAATAGCGAAGTCCTTGCCCCAGCTGGGGATGACCAGAGTCTAGTAAGTCCTCCCCACAGATGGGGATGACCAGAGTCTAATATTAACATCTTCCCTACAGATGGGGATGACCAGAGTCTAATAAGTCCTCCCCACAGATGGGGATGACCAGAGTCTAATAAGTCCTCCCCACAGCTGGGGATGACCAGAGTCTATTAAGATGTATTGACCAGAGTCTAATAAGTCCTCCCCAGAGCTGAGGATGACCAGAGTCTAATAAGTCTTCCCCACAGCTGGGGATGACCAGAGTCTAATAAGATGTATTGACCAGAGTCTAATAAGTCCTCCCCACAGCTGGGGATGACCAGAGTCTAATAAGTCCTCCCCACAGCTGGGGATGACCAGAGTCTAATAAGTCCTCCACACAGCTGGATATGACCAGAGTCTAATAAGTCCTCCCCACAGATGGGGATGATCATGAGGGGAGGCGTGTCTCAGCTGGTCCGCCCCGTGACGGCGGCGGCGGCGGCGGCGGTGCGGCGGGAGCGGCGGGACGAGGCGGCGGTGACGGCGGAGGGCCTCCACGTCCTGCACGCCACCACTGGGAAAAATAAATGCGGCATTGCCAGTAAATTCAGGGTTGCCGTGTAAATGTGTTTATTTATTGACTGATGTTCATTTATACAGTCGTATTCATTTTTCATTCTTATTCAAATATTCAGTCATATTCATCTTTAATTCTTATTCATTTTTTCAGTCGTAATCATTTATTCAGTTATATTCATTTATTCAGTCATGTTGATTTTCCAGTTGAATTTATATATTGAGTCATGTTCACTTTTCAGTCGAATTCATTTATTATGTAATGTTCATTTATGCAGTCATTTTCATTTATTCAGTCGTTTTCATTTTTAACTATTCATGTTCACATATTCATTTTTTATTATTTAATTGACTTCCGTCATTTATTCAGTAGTTTTCATTTATTGAGTCATATTCATTTTTAATTATTCATATTCTTATATTCATTCTTGATTATTTAATTTATTTCCGTCATTTATTCAGTCGTATTCATTTATTCAGTCATATTCATTTTTCAGGCGTATTCATATATTACGCCTTATTCATTCATCCATATTAATTTATGCTGTTATATTCATTTAGTCAGTCGTATTCACTTATTCAGTCATGTTCATTTATTTCCTCGTATTCATTTATTCAGTCATATTCATTTTTCAGTCGTATGTATATATTCAATCACATGCATTTATTCAGTCGTATTCATTTATTCACTCATATCCGTCGATCCATGCATCAATATGTTTTCAATCACACATTTTTCCTCGTTTATGCTGATTTCACAAATGACTATTCAAAACAAATGATAGTTATCTATATTATATTGACAATATATTTTTTGTGTTTTCAGATCTACAGGCCATGCGAGGTTTCCATCCTATGGTTTCTATTGAAAGGAAAAAACGTCACGCATACCAAAACGAAACTCAAGATTCAACAGTAAAATCAACAGAGAAATCAACAGAGAACGACAACATCAACAGCTACGCAAATGAGATCGATTTCAATGCGCCTAGCGTTGTAGTTTTATCGAACCCCGGCGACAACGCTGATTGGTCAAAGAGCGTTACCAACCACAAGCGTCTCGACCAATTGGAAGACTGGGAATGGGAACACTACCAAGAATTGGTGGAATTACAGAAAAAACGGGCCCGGATCTGGAATAATAATAAAGGTTACAGTGGTATATCTGCCCACAATAAATGGAAGAAGAATATAAATCAAAACTACGGCTCCACTTATAAACACATTTCTGATTCTAGATTCAGTTCAGATTTCAATTCCGGTTCTACTTCCGGTGCCCCTTCCGGTTCTAATTCTGGCTCCACTTCCGGTTCTACTTCCGGTTCTACTTCCGGTTCTACTTCCGATTCCACTTCCGGTTCCATTTCCGGTTCCACTTCCGGTTCCACTTCCGGTTCCACTTCCGGTTTTACTTCCAGACGGAAGCGCCAGACGAAGGAATACCAAATCGAAACGGCGGTTTTCGTGGACGATAAAATGTACGATTTTGTGGCGGCAGAGAACAGCGGTGGTGCGGTGATCGACAAGGTGCAGGACATCGTGTTCACCATCATGAATGCGGTGAGTAATCTTAATCACCATTATTAATGAGGAGGTGAGGAATCTTAATCACAATGTGGAGTAATCATATTCTCCATCATGAATGCGGTGATTACTGTTGTACGCTATCACGAATTTAGTTAGTAATCACATTTACCATCGTTAATGCGGTGAGTAATCGTATTCACTATCAGAATCGTGTTCACTATCATTAGTAATCTTGAATATAATATGAATTATGAATCTCACATAAATGAATAACACAAAATAGAATGAAATGTCATCAATGCAACGTTTGAATGGAAAAATAGAATTGATAGCTGAATAATTAGCGTAATTTTGAGTATGAATATAATATTTGTAGTTGATATTTGATCTTAAAACTCTTGGACTAATGATAAATTCGGTTGAATCATCCGACTCTGGAATTTCATTTAACCCACTTTGACTCACCTGACCAGCATAATGAATCACTTTGACCCACTTTGACTAGTGAGTAATCGTGTTCACCATCATGAATGCGGTGAGTAATCGCGTTCACCATTCATGAATGGATTGAGCAATCATGTTCTCCATCATGAATGCGGTGATTTATATTGTACGCTATCACGAATTTAGAAAGTAATCACATTTACCATCGTTAATGCGGTGAGTAATCGTGTTCATTATCATGAATGGGATGAGTAATATTAATCTTGATTACAATATAAATAAATAAATAACACAGAAGAGAATTAAAATGTCATAAATAAAACGTCTTGAATTAAAAAAAATACATGAATAATTAACGTACTTCTGAGTATGAATATAATATTTGTATTTTATATTGATCTTAAACCTTTTTGACTGATGAGAAATTCGGTTGAGTCATCCGACTCTGGAATTTCATTTAACCCGCTATGACTCACCTGTCCAGCATAATGAATCACTTTGACCCACTTTGACTCAGGTGAGTATCCTGTACCGATCACCCTCGATGAAGACCTCCATCACAATCACCCTCGTGCGACTCGATATCCTGAAGAGCAGCGATGCTGGACCAGCCAAAGCCAGCGGTGAAATAGAGGGGTGAGTGAGGGGTGAGTGAGGGGTGAGTGAGAATAGAATAGAATGGAAGAGAAGAGTCGGCACTGAAGAAATATACCCATGGTCTGTTGCCGATTCTTGTACTTTTCGTGACTTGTTCACAGGAGATCTGAATACAGGTCCTTTACCGTGTCTTCCAAACTGACGATAGTTTGATATAGCAACTAGACTTCCACCGGGTTCGATATGGTTGGTGCTAGGCATTTCAAGTCTGAACATATATTTTCCCATAGCTTTATCTAGTCTGTTCCTGAACGCGTTCATACTCGGAACGTCAACGATCAGAGAGGCTGTTCCACATGTCGGTTACTGGAACGAGAAGTACCTCCCTCCGACTTTTCTAGTACCTCCCTCCGACAATGGCCTTTGCGGTTCCTCTAAACATACTCATCACAACTTGGATCCAAGTTCCCAACTCACAGCAGTGAATACGTTCTGACTTAACACTCACTGTGATGCGTGATGCTTCGGCCGCCCCCGTATATTCTGACTTAACACTCACTGTGATGCGTGTTGCGTCGGCCGCCCCCGTATGTTCTGACTGTACACTCACTGTGAAAATGGTAGTACACAGCAATGGTAGTACACAGCAATGGTAGTACACAGCAATGGTATTACACAACAATGGTAGTACGCGGCAATGGCCGCGGCTCTCAACTTGGGTTGAGACTAGACTGGTGCAGGTACTGGAGTTGAGAAGTACGGTCGAGGTCGGCCTAACTAGGAGCCGCGTTTGCTGGCCGGGCAAAGAGTCGGCCCTGCCGAACAATGATAGTCAGCACGACTATAACTAACGATATTACACTATGGAACAATTTCAGTTAACACAACACATAAATACATTCAAAGATTTTAAACACTATATTCAAAAGTCGAACATTATAGTAGAGAGCAAATGCACTAACACCCACCAAATAGGGACGCTACAGGTGCACTCGAAAATAGTGACAGTAGGTACGCTCCGACCAAGTGACAGCAATCGAATGAGACGAACTAACCCGGGCTTCAGGCCGGTAACGCCACGTCATCAAATAGCATGGTTGCCAACCCTACAAGCAGCCGTAACTTACGACACAAAAATAAATTTAAGTAACTGAAATCCTAAAGGGTGAATTTCCCTTACACAAATTCTAGTAATCCTTCGGGGACCTTGTATAAACCATGAGTATACTTATATACTTATAATTATTTATTAATAATAATAGTGGTTTCAGCGTTTAGTAGGCCGTAGGCCTGTCGCCGATTCTTAACGTTGCAAAACATTCACAGCTTGTTGCGGTCTCCAACTCGCAACTCACTGCTACAATTCTGCTGTGCTTAACCGCCCGGCCTCCTTGCCGTTTCTGACCAGAAACTGGCGCACAGAGCTGGGATCGAACCCGCGCCTCTCTGCGTCAATCTTGGTACTCGGAACTTTAACCACTGGGCCACCCACCCTCTCAATGATGTCACCACGCAGATGTCGATAACGGAGGCTTGCAAGCTTCATAATATTTAATCTTTCTTCATAGGACTTACCCTTCAAGCCTTGAATTATCCTGGTTGCACGTCTTCGAATACTCCTATTAAATTTTTATCCTTTTCAAGTTTCGGTGACCACACGACGTTCCCAAACTCTAGATTCGGGTGTACGACAGCGACAAACAACTGCTTCATCGCTTCTGCATCTAAGAACGCGTAAGAGCGTCTGATTAGTCCAAGAAGTTGATTGAATTTATTAGCTTGCGTTTCAACATGCTTAGATAATTTCAGCTCCTTGTCGACATAAACTCCCAAATCTTTTCCCACCCTAGTTTTTTCGAACTTTACTCTCTCGTTGCAACCATGTATTCTCATACTGTAATATTGATGCTCATTGTTCATTCCAAGGTGAAGTACTTTTTACTTTTCAGCATTAAAACGCAGCTGCCACGTATCAGCCCAGTTAACCAAACTGTCGAGATCATCTTGCAATTACACTTCATTTGACGCATCCTTAACTGTATTATACACTTTTGTCTCGTCGGCATACATGGAGCACACGCTAGACACAGCTTCTGGCAGATCGTTTATAAAAGCAACGAACAAAACAGGTCCGAGAACTCTTCCTTGTGGCACGCCGCTGCGCACTGAAGCCCAGCCTGATACGGACCCATTAATAATGACACGTTGTCGTCTACCTACTAGAAAATCTCTGATCCATTGTAGTACATTTACCTTTATTCCCAAAGACTTCACTTTACGCAACAGCCGCTCATGCGGAACACTGTCAAATGCTTTGGCAAAATCGAGGTACACTGCATCTACTGGCTCCTTTTCGTCCAGCAGGCGAGGTCAATCGTTCAATGTAGAAAAAAGGCTAGTGGTGCAGGATCTACCGGCAATAAAGCCATGTTGACAGTCTGATAGGACATGGTGATCAGTCAAGTGATCGATAATCCAATCCCTCACAACAGATTCCTTACCTTACTAACAACACTTGTCAGACTGACAGGGCGGTAGTTACCTGGGCTACTCATGTCAAATTTTTTGAAGTCCCTTGGGTCAAGGTTTGCTGAAAGAACGCTGTTAAAGGTCTAACAAAGACGGTTGCCAATTCTTTGAGTAATCTAGGGTGAAAGCCACATGTCGGTGACTCGAAGCGAGAAGAAATGTTGTCGCAGGGATGTGCTACAACGAAATTTTTTTAGTTTATTGCCGTGGCCCCTGGTGTTGGTTCTTGTTTCAAATTCTAGGACTCCTTCTGGGACCTTGTATAAGCCATGAGTATATTTGTATACTTCAATGAGGTCCCCACGCAGACGTCGATAACAGAGACTTGGAAGCTTCATAATCTAAGGGGAGAAAGGAAGGAGTGGGGGAGGAGGGGTCGTGGGGGAGAGGGGGAAGAGGGAATGGGTGAGGAGAGGAGAGCAGTGGGGGAGGAGGGAAGGGAGTACGGGGATAGGAGGGAAAGAGTTTGGTACAATGAGAATGGATCGGTCACATTTTCCCAATATAACTTAATACTCACCCATTTCTAGCCTTCCCCAGGTGCTACTCTTTACTCACCGCTCACTCACCCCTCAATCACCCTCACCACTCTTCACTTACTCACCCCTTACTCACCCCTTACTCACCCCTTACTCACCCCTTACTCACCTCTTACTCACCCCTTACTCACCCCTTACTCACCCCTTACTCACCCCTTACTCACCCCTTACTCACCCCTTACTCACCCCTTACTCACCCCTTACTCACCCCTTACTCACCCCTTACTCACCCCTTACTCACCCCTTACTCACCCCTTACTCACCCCTTACTCACCCCTTACTCACCCCTTACTCACCCCTTACTCACCCCTTACTCACCCCTTACTCACCCCTTACTCACCCCTTACTCACCCCTTACTCACCCCTTACTCACCCCTTACTCACCCCTTACTCACCCCTTACTCACCCCTTACTCACCCCTTACTCACCCCTTACTCACCCCTTACTCACCCCTTACTCACCCCTTACTCACCCCTTACTCACCCCTTACTCACCCCTTACTCACCCCTTACTCACCCCTTACTCACCCCTTACTCACCCCTTACTCACCCCTTACTCACCCCTTACTCACCCCTTACTCACCCCTTACTCACCCCTTACTCACCCCTTACTCACCCCTTACTCACCCCTTACTCACCCCTTACTCACCCCTTACTCACCCCTTACTCACCCCTTACTCACCNAGTGGGTCATGGGTGAGAAGTGGGTCATGGGTGAGAAGTGGGTCATGGGTGAGAAGTGGGTCATGGGTGAGAAGTGGGTCATGGGTGAGAAGTGGACCGCTGAGACGCCTCCTCGCGGTCTCCAAACCTCGCGGTTTATGGGCACCGTTTCCAACTAAACAGGCTTTTTGCCACCGATGTTTAGTGGTACATCAATGTCAAGAAGAACATTTCATTGGCGCCGGGATTTTCCAAAAGAAGATGCAGGTAGGGTTTCCTATGTAATACCACACAGGTGCTGCCGGGTCACCAAAACGTATAAGGCGCCGCTGTAACCGTGCTCATATATTAAGCTCTACCTGAGGATCGGGATACGTGACTAAGGTCGTGAAGGATAAGTAAGACACGTGTGTCTTATAACATATCTTATATTTATATACGGGGTGGTTATGCAAGAGGTATAAGCTACGGCGTCGATCATAAGATCGGAGAACTCAACCGACACGTTACATCTCGGAGCGCTTATCAACTACTGCGGGGGGCCTTACTTAAGGCTGCTAGCCCTTATATAGCCTTCGCTTCCGCCCACTGGGTTCGTGTCCTCGTGACACAAATGCTGATTAATCTGCTGACTCAGCGCCTAAGGCAAGGTCTCAGTGACACCAGGGACTCACAGCTAACTAGGTCTGCTGGTAAACACATGAGGACTTATTTCCACAACCTACTCTCGGACAGCTGGGAATGATTGTTATTTT